ATTAGATATACATAGAAGAAAAAAGCTCATCTGCAGGAAATATTCAGACCAGCTGTCCTCGGATAACTCTTCTCCATGCTATTTTGCTTTGCTTGAAGTCAACAGACCACAGCACTCCTTCAGGCAGGAGGCCTCGTCTCCAGTAAGCAATGTGGGCTATGACAACTTTGGAAACAGGTGGTAATTTAGGACTATAGAGACCCACAATGCATCTGCCTAATGACATCATTTAAAATACTGCTTTTATACTAAAAACTAAACATCAATGCCATGTAGTATGTAAACTTAATTACAAAGTGGAGATTTTCCAGTAATTTTGAGTCTCACAGCCTTGGGTTGGCTTGCTTCATGTTTTCTGTCAAGGAAACAGAGGTCTGCTCTACAGGTAGTGTGAGGGACTACAACTTTGGGACAATGACACAAATAATAAATCTAAGTGCAGATGACCAAGCCCTCTCCCAATCAGTGAAGACAGTGGCCACCAGACGAAGACCTTGACCTACCTACAGATGAACTTGGACTCTTCAGCTATCGCTGTCCTTTACTTGAGTTGCAGTCAAAATAAGTGCCCCTGACAACTTCTTCAGCTGGCTCCCATTCTATTCTGAAGGACCTTTCTGCCTATTAATCTTTTCTCATCAGCCTTTCAGTTAAAGCCCAGGGCCTACAAGTCCTTGCATGCTTTGACCTCCTACTGCCTCAAGAGTTTACTCCACCCCCACCCCCTTTTCACAGCTCAGCACCCTAGCCATTCAGAGCTACCTGCAGTTCCTGGAGGGTCAAGCTCTTTCTCCACCCAGACTCACAAAAAGCCTTCTCATTTAGCAGTCAGTTCCTAACTACTGTTCTGCCTTCAGTAGTTGGCTCAGGAAGTTTTTCTTCACAAGCCCACTATCATTTTTGTCTCTTATCTGGCGAAGTGCTTCCACACCATCCTAGGTGTACATCTCATGCACCCAGTCACTGAATTCTTGTATTTCTTGCTATATTGAAAGTTTCCCATTTGCATTTTGTCTTATCAAACAATAGATTACAAAATCTGGGACTAGTAGACATTTAATATTTTAACAATTTCATTAGATCAAGATCAGAAAAATCTCTGGTGTTCATAACAGAGCAACAACTTAAGTTTTCAAGCCCTCCTAAGAGATTGCAATATTGGTAAAGTGTGATGCCCAGAGATTTGAAGACTACCTCTTTCTGTATGCTACATAGGCTATGGAAAGTATTCTGTTGTACCTGGGGCTCTAATTTTATTACTATACCAAGTAAGTTTTAGAAAATGATTACAGTTTATTTAGAGAAAAACGCTAAAATGTCTTAATTTTATTAACTCTGTGGGAGCATCAACAGGGACTATAAAAGGTCAAGAGAATGTGAATGAGTGTTTATTACCTCCCTGAAGAAATCCTTAGAATAATCTAGCTTAGCCCTGTCACTAAGTGAAGGTCAGCTGAAAAACGCTTTGTAATCTCTTTCCTGAGACCCCCTCCAATCAGATCCAGGTCTAAAGTGCAGATCTTATACAAATTTTGAGAGGAGTTACCAAGATCCTATTTCCCAGCTTCACCCTTTCGATTTTTCTAAGCTTGTGCTTAGTATGAAATGCTCATCATTGGTCTCCAAAGTCAGTCCCTAAAGGTCTCCCTTTAAGGTCTGCTTATAGTTTGAGAGTAGCTCTAAAGTCTTCTCTTAATAGAAATGATCAGATTGGACATAAACACTCTGGAATCCAAAAGCACAAGACAAAGGCCACAGAGGAAAGCATGGCAGCAATCGCTCCAGCCCACAAAGAGAAGGGCAGTGGGCTGACACCAGAGGGAGATTTACAGAGATAGGAGCTGGGGTGAGACTTGAAAGGGGAGAAAGGTGAAGTCAAGCCATTTTTGCTACAAGCAGCCTCTAGTCTAGGCAGGGCCACACACACCTTAACTAGTATCTTCAAACTTTCTGTTCTGACAGCTTCCTGAGCTGCTTAGATACTCTATCAGGCAGTTATTTCTAGTGTTATGTCTGGATGAAGTCTATATGGCACAAAATAAGATTCAATAAGATAAGTCAAATTATTCAGCATTAGAACTACAGATATTTTCAAGTAAAATAACATTGTACTTTACTTAGCTTTCTCAATGAGTTTCATAGTGATCAGGGATGTGCAAAGAGAAGACATGTGTGACCTGTCTCCATTTTTAGTCCCCAGTCCGGAGGCTACCTCAACATGCATTTAAAAAGAACATAAGATTAAGATGTTCGATAATTTTATTAGCATGACCCTAAAATTAAAATTTATTTCAAAAATATAAAAGTGAATTCCAACAGAAGGGTCAGCCACATCTATTGGCATGGAGAAGAGAATTCACATTTTGTGGCTGCCCTGGGACCCAGAGAGTCTCCTAAAGACAATACAGAATTCCTCCTTCTTAAACCTAAAAGGTTTAAGAGAACCAAAGGATAGAGTTAATAGATGTCTCACTATGGTAGGAGAGTAGTTAAATCTTAAGAATGAAACTGAATACTTACAAGCAAAGGCCAAAATAACCATTTCATCATCCGATCAAGTCTGAGGATATATAAAATTATGAAAAAGAAAATAACAATGGCTTCAAATCCAGTGATAACAATGTATGGTTCAGGGGCTTGTGCAATAATAAAAAAGGTCATAGATGTCACAGTTAGTACCTAGAAGAAAAAAAAAGTCATGATTACTGAATACAAATTTGAGCTGTAAAAATCATTTCTGAAATAACTAAGCAGGTTTCTGCCATATACATACACATTAGAGGAGCATGATTAAAATGTATGGATATTGACTTCACTCTGCGGTTTAGAGGGCTAAGTGTCTTTCTTAGAATTAAAGAATAATTACCCCACTTGCACTTTTGATACCATCATCTACATGTGTTCTCTTGATTTTTTCTGACCCCCATACCTTTACTTTGTCCTCTTCTGCTAGCTCCTTTCATGTTCATACTATAAACATATGTAAGTTGTCTTGTCTTAAAATGTACACACACACACACACACACACACACACACACCCCATACCCAGTCTTTCATGCTATTTCCCATAAAAACGCCTGTTCTGTTTTCTTGTTATGCTTCTCAAAAAAGTTTGTAGAGGGCCAGCCAGAAGCACCTGCTTAGGCAGATGCAGGGGCCAGGGGTTTGATCCCTGGCTTGCCATGCTGGCCTCGCCCCCAAGGCACACTGAGACAGTGACTGAGACTGCGTGTGGTGGTGTGCACCTGTAATCCCAGCACTTGGGAGGCTGAAAACAGCAGGATCACTATGAGTCCGATCTGTGTAGTGAAACCCGAAAGACCTTATACTAAATATATTTTTTAAAAAAGTTTGTATATACTGGCTAGCTATTTATAATGCTTTATCATCCACTCACCATTCATTACCTCTTGGCAATCTGGAATCACTGTCAAATGTAAGCTGAATGTTGCTATAAAAAAATATCAAAGGGGACCCAAGAATGGTGGTGTATGCTTGTAATTCCAGAGGCTGAGGCAGGACTGCCTAGAGTTCAAGGCCAATCTGGCTACTTGCGAAGTTCAAGGCCAGTCTGAACTATTTAGCAAAATCTTGTCTCAAAAACAGAATAATAGGAAGGAAGGAAGGAAGGAAGGAAGGAAGGAAGGAAGGAAGGAGAGAAAAAATAGAAAAGAAAAATAACAGGGGTAGCAGGGTGCAGTGGTGCACGCCTGTTATTGCATATTACAACACTTGGAAGGCTGAGGCAGGAGGATCATTGTGAGTTCAAGAGACCAGCTTGGGTTATAAAATGAGTTCAAGGCCAGCCTGAACTGCATAGCAAGACTCTATCTCAAAAAGACAAAAAAAGAAAAAAGAAAGAAAAGAAAAATACCAGGAGTGGGTTTTAAAACATACAATCACAAAAGTTTAAGATTTAACAGATGACTAAAATAACCTTTTTACAAAAAATACAATGCCAAATACAATAGCATCAAAACTATGATATTTTAAAAGAACAAATCCTCAAGTAACCTAATCCAATTTCTTCATTTCCAAAGGAAGACAAAATATAGTAACGTTAAGTGAAACATCAAAGAAAAAACTAAGCAAGTGGGTCCCAGAGAGCTTTTTTTTTTTTTTTTTTAAACAAAGCACTTTTTTATTTTATTTTATTTTTTTCTTTTTGGCGGAACTGGGGATTGAACTCAGGCCCTTGCGCTTGCCAGGGAAGCGCTTATTCCACTGAGCCATCTCCCAGCTCCCCCAGAGAGTTCTGTTAACGTTATGTTCTTAGAAAATACATCTCTATCCAAAGTCTGGGTTTTTGTTAAGTGGTTTTGTCAAGAGTATTCCCTAGCTTAACTTTTTTTTTTTTTTTTTTGCGGACCTGGGGATTGAACTCAGGGCCTTTTGCTTGGCAGGCAAGTAAGTGCTTATTCTACTGAGCTATCTCCCCAGCCATCCTAGCATAACTTTTGTAATTCTCTTTCAGCTGGTACCATCCACTTACTCTCTTTTTATACAAACTACTCATTCATAATTATTTCAATTTTGTTAGGAAAAGTATCCTACCTTTGAACGTCTAAAATTACTAGATTGACTACAAATACCTAGTTACTAAATAAATCCATCCTTTATAACATAATAACGGTTAATACCATGTCATCTCAAACCATTCCGTTCACTCCGACACAGGCCTCGGGTACATAAATTATGAAATTAAGTCTCCCCTTTTCAGTCCTTACCCTCTGTAATCTTCTTGCATTAGTTACTGCCACAGATGACTACTCCATTTTCTTAAAAATTCTCATGGTTCTGTCACATTGCTTTCTCCCTTGATTCATATTCACAGCTCCTGTATCTTTTCTAAGATTTGGCTTTATTTCTATGTCACCTTTCTTAATTCTTATTCGTATACTTATTCTCTGGGCTCCTCTCTTCACTAAGTCAATCAGTGTTACTACAATCTACCTTCTTATCCACACCAGGAACATACGTCCACTGCTTAACTCACTTCTCTCAACTGAGGAATCATCACATCCTGCTGACTTCATGCCTAAGCATACCTGGTATTCCCTCATCTTCATACCTACACTACTACTCATCAGCATCTTTTACCTAAACTATCACAAACGAGATACTACTGTGAGATGACTAAAATGCAAAGCTGTTATTTATTTAGAAATCCTTCAATACCTTTTCATGGTGCTTAGAATAGAGCCTTCCTTTTTTTTTTTTAATGGTACCGGGGACTGAACTCAGGACCCTGTGCTTGCCAAGCAAGCGCTTATTCTACTGAGCTATCTCCCTGGCCCTCCTCTCCCCATATACTTGAGAAATTCTACCTTTCACCATATACATAAGAACTTCTATGATTCTAACCTTTCACCATATACGTAAGAACTTCTATGATTCTAACATCTGTATTTCTTTGTAGAAAAGACTTGTCTCACAAATTGTCCACAAGATAATTCTAATGTTTACTTTAGTCCTTATTTTACTCAAATTATCAGTACTTAATACAATTGATCAATCCTTCAAAAAGTCTCCACACTTAATTTCAAGGACAAAACACTCTTGGTTTCCCCTACTCTCCAAATCTTTCTTCTTTCTTCTTTATACTTCATCTTCTCCTGACCGCTAATTTTTGAAGTGTTCTAGGGCTCAATCCACAGTCCTCTATCTATACCTCCCTTCGGAAGACCTAGAAAGTTTGTGCCTTTACATGCTTCTATGTCTGAAGTCTGATGTTTCTACCAAATCCAATCTAGTTTATCCCAACTTCTTATTCAGTGCTGCTACTTGGATATCTAATGCGTATGTTGGATCTAACAATGAAATCCAAAACTGAACTTTTAGTCCTCCCCTTATGTTTGCTTTACTTATAACCTTTCCAATCTCAGGGGATAGCATTTTCATCTTTTCAGTTGTGTAGACTAACCATTTTGGCAATATGTATGCTGGCCTCTCTTTCTTAGTCCAGGTCTAGATCAGCAAATCTTGTGGAGTTACTGTCAAAATGCAGCTTGAGCAGCCCAATCTGAAAAGCTGAAATGCTCCAAACTCCAAAAATATAAATGCTAACAAGTAGAAAATTTCATATCTGACTTCTGATTGTTTAGTGTCCATGAATCTGTTTTATGCACAAAAGTATTAAAAATATTGTAGAAGTCTACAATGATACCACCCTGAACACATTGGATCTCATCTAAAAATATTGTAGGAAAAAATACCTTCCACATATGTGTCGGGTACTTGTCTCAGTTCTTTTTCTCTCATTGCTGGGACAAAATACTCAACACTCAAAATTAAGGAAGGAAAGGTTTATTTAGTCCATAGTAGAGGTTTCAGTCCATACTTGGCTGGCTCCAAAGCAGAGTTGAGTGGCACATGGCAGAGGGCAGCAGTTCATGACAGCAGAAACAGTAAAGAGCAAAGGGAGGAGCAGCAGTGGCAGGGAGCAAGCCTCTCTCCCTTATACAGTATTCAGACTACATGCCTCCAGGCGGGTGTAGTACTCACACCTATAATCCCAGCACCGGGTCATGAATTAATCACAAACTCTAGAAGTCGCCCCATGACTGCTTGAGGCTTTGAGGGAACATCTAGACACAAATCATAGTAGTACAAATATATGAAATATAAATGAGATATTTGGTTCCCATCCCTAAGATAGCTCATTATGTATATGCAAATATTCCAGAATTGTAAATAATTTTGGTCTCAAACATTCTGGATAAGAAATCACAACCTGCACAGCTATTTCTCAGAATCACAGACTTTTGGTACAAGAATGATCTTATACACATTTTGTTTTCACTCACCTGAAGTTTGAATCTCTTTTATAACTTCCTTACCTAATGCTCATCTGTGCTTGTTACTTTTGTTACCTGAGATTGCAATCCCTCCCCAAGTGACCATTTAATTTTACTGCCCTTCCCAATATAAATTTCTTCCTCAGATTATGTGAAAATGTTTCCCTGTAGCTTTTAAGCACTTCAACTTTTTCTCTCCTGTGTTGTCTCTTTAACATTTAAGTTTATTTCTTCCTTCTTCTTGAATTTTCTTGAATTTCCTCAACTATGATAATTTTCAGGTCTCTAATTAGAAAAATTTATCCTTTATATGGGTATTCACTCCCTCTCCCCCAAACCTGTTTACAGAATCGACAGTAGTACTTCTTTTAAGCGCCAAAACTCTAATTTTTTTTTTTTTTTTTAATCGCGTTGGCTTCTTAGCGGCACAATGGCAACTGCTTTACCCCCTCATCTGAACACCAGACCCTGCAGGCCACGGTGGTAAATCTGCAGCTCTTGTTTAATAAACACGTCCTTACATTCTCAGAAGAGGAAATCGCCCTCTGGCCTCTCTGCTTCCCCAGGGGCCCAAAGGAAAGCCTTGCCTCGCGGGAGGTCTCCATAAAAGGGAGACTGACGAGCCGGTGGCGGTGGCTCACCCCTGAAGCCTCAACACTTGGGAAACTGAGGCCACCTTGGGCTACACACAGTATCGAGTTCCAGGACAGCGTGGACTACACAGTGCGACCCAAGCTCAAAAAAAAAAAAAAAAGAAGTCAGAAGCCCTCCACCCACAAGGAAAGACACTGTCAACAGCACCCCGGGCCGCTCCTCCCCGCCTCCGGGGCGGGGTCTCTGCCCTTCCGCAGCTCGACCTCCGCCCGCGCCCCCAGCACCCCTGCCCCGCCCTCACCAGTCGCAGCATCTTTACAGGGCCCTTCACGCTGAGGCAGAAGGGGCGCAGGTGTAGTTTCAGCTTCGACTCAGTCTCCATCTCGCCCGGCCGACCCAGCTGCCACACCTCACCTTTCCACCCTCCTCAGCGCCCCGCCCGCCCGGCCCCCCTCCACAGCCCCGACCGCAGAAGCGGTAGTCCGTTGCGCTCTGGACTTCCCGCCCTCGCGCGCGCATGCGCGGCGCCCCGCGGCCGCCCTCCTGCGCATGCGCTCTGCGGGTGGCGACCGCCGTCCTGCGTGGCTTTGCCCGCAACGGAAAAAGCTCAGCCGCTGGTCTTTCGATTTGTGGCCTGTCCCGCCCCACCTGGTTGCGCTAATTGCCGCGCAGCGCTAAAGCTGTCTTGTCCTGAAGCAATTGCAGGGTTGGAGCAGGGGAGGGAGGCTGCAAGGGAGAGAGGCAGTGGAAAAGGGGACTTCCTTCGGTGGGCTTTCTCTGGGTGATCCTGTCCAGGGTAGCCACCATCACTGTCCTCAGTATTTCCGTCTAGCTGATATAGATCGTAAGAATGCCTCTTCTACAGGGAACAGCTGAGTAACAGGTACTAAATTATAGTAAGGAGAAGAGGTGTGGTGTTCTATTGCCCGCTATGGAGACTACAGAATGATGAGGTAGGAAATTAAAAACTAGAAGACAGCCTCAGCCCCAAGCACTCTAGGAGGCTGAGGCAAGGCTGTGGCAAAGTAGAGTCCAGCCCAGGCAAGTTAGTAATTTAGCGATAGCCATCCAGTTTGATCCCCCGCGTGCAGCGCTGGCCCCACCCCGGGGTGCGCTGGGACAGCAATTGAGACTGGCCTCGGTGGCCCACGCCATAATCTCTGCTTGGGAGGCTGAAAACAGGAGGATCACCTCGAATCCGATCTGTGTAGTGAGACTCAGTACTAAATACAAAATAAATAAATAGGGTGAAAGGCCTGGGGGACTGTAGTTTAGGGCGAAGTTCCCAGGTTCAATCTTAAGTATTGCAGACAAAGCAAAACCCTAGAAGCAGGGATTTTGATATTTTTCTACCACAGAGAAGTGATAATTGCTTAGGGGGCTAATTTACCTTAATTCAAACATATAATGTATACCTGTACTGAAACATGAAACTGCAAATACTACATACTGTTTTTATGTAACAGCTACAAACAAGGGGCAGACATCCACAAAAGCAAGGACTTGTCTCTGTCCCTGAGGAGTCCCTGGGGTCTGGTGACCTATAGTTGTAGGTGTAGCCTAGGCTTGGGCCAACCTGAGTAGTTTTACTTTTGTCTCGTTCTGGTGTTAGTTTTTTCCATAGGTGGAACGGCTTGAGTTTCTTCAGATTCTTGAATTCAGTTCGTGTTTTTTTGTAAGCACTCCAATGATGCAGAGCTATACTATGCTGGAGTGTTTCTTTTTAGGAATATAAAGTATATATCACTGCTTTCACGTGAACGAAGTTCTGCCTTGGATAATGTGGCCATCACTCAGGTCCATTTGGACCTCTTTGCATCCTGCATATCATGGTCCATTTTATTCCACCTAATCTGTTCAGCAATTACCTTCAACAGCCTTATCCCAGGTTGCCACAAAAAATGTTAATGTTAACTTGAAGTTTGCTTAATATGGAGAGTCTTTGTTAGGTGTGTGACAGTTACACAGGTAGGCACAAAATGGAGGGGTAGCTCTCAGGTGACAGAACTAGAAGCTAATACTGTAGGCAGCTAAGTTAGACAGAAATTATACAGTTGAAAAGGGACTGAGCTCTCAATAAAGTCAATAAGTATTGAGCTCTCAATACTTCTGTAAGGGATGAATACAAATCCGAGATAAAATGATTGGTGCCACCCAGTCCTTTAAGTCCAGATAAACATTAATCATCCAGGTAGGTTCAAGGTCCTGAGTTCAATCCCCAGTACCGAAAAAAAAAAAAAAAATCATTCAGCTAGATGACCAGAGCATCCTGATCCATTCCTTTTCCAAAATGCCTTTGTTCTTTACATGCATCCTTGCTACATGACTCACTTTCCTATTGGGTCAGTGTTAGCTAAGTGGCTATACTTGTAATCTTGTTAGTTCATTATAGTCTGACTCATGTGGTATCCACATTTGTGATTTTGCTGTACAAATTATCCCTGACAAAAGCCCTTGGTAGTGACACACTTCAGGTCCCCTCTTGTCTCAGGAGCTGTCTCTCAAAACTATTCTCTCCTCTTAACCTAAGTTGTTCCCTAGAACTCATTCTTGTTTCAGGGGAGGCAAACTCGGTGTACCTGACATCTAGCAGATTGGGATTTATATTTTCTCCTATATTACAAAAACTGAAAATGACTTCCTTTTCCTTGTCCCATAGTGGTTGTTAGTATCTTGCATTCCTAGGAGAGGTGGGAAACTCCTAACTGCATAGAGGAACTCTCACATGCTGTCAGGGTTCAAAAGCTGGGGTTACTGACCCAGGCCGGATGACTTAGAACACCCCCTGTGCCCTACATCTGGGATGAAAACTTGCAACATAACAACTTACAAGTTTTCACTGTATCCTCCCCCACTTGTCTGTCTATTTGTAATACTGGTTTTGCCTGCCTGAGGAATCTAGAGCATTTATAGAGTCCAAACCCTAGAAATGACAAAATTTAGAGGGAAGAGCAGAAAAGCTGCGAAATCAGTCAGAGTCTTGAACTTCAGCTCCACTCCCAACTTTCCTTTTTGGTCAGTGTTGGGGACCAAACCCTGGGAGATTTTGAGGAAAATGATCAATTCTTCCAGGAGGAACTTGCAGCAAGAGAGTGACAATTTCTATTTGCTGGGTTATTTGGAGGGTTCCATGACATGAGGGGTGGTTGTGTGCCCCTTGTGGGTGAGGTTGGACCCTCAATATGCAACAACTCAGGGATCAATCAGTGGCTATCCCTCTTTCAAGTCTTGTCGAGTGCCAGGTACATTCTGTTGGCCGCCAGGGGCAATCCCTCCCCCTCGGATCTCTACCTTGGCAGAGAGGGTGAAAAGAGACTGGGCTCTTTAAGAGCCTCCCCGCAGGGGCGGGCGGGGCCTGCGGCGGGCCGGACTCGCGAGGGAAGGAAACGCGCCATGCTGCTGGGCTCGCTGCGGCGCTGGGCCTCCCGCATGCTGCGCCGCGCGGGGCCGGGGAGTCCCGGGAGCTCCGCCAGCCCCGCTCCGGGCGCGGGACTGCAGCCCCGCGCCTGGCCTCCAGGTAACTCGCTCTTTTGTTTCACGTCGTCACCGTCGCGGCCGCGGTGCCGGTCCCCGACCCCGGATCCCGGCGGGCTGCACCGCCAGATCCGGAGCTCCGCCTACGCGGCGCGGGACTTCCCCGGATGGTAGTGAGTGGGTGGGGTTAGGGACCCGGGCCACTGGCCCTAGTCGGCGGAAAGGGACTCCGGAGAGGGGTAGGAACCACACGATGGGCGGGGGCTGCTGTGGGCTTTCCGCCCGCCCCCTTTCTTGGCCTCGGGTCTTTTTTTTTTTTTTTACTTGTGTGTGTGTGTGTGTGTGTGTGTGTGTGTGTGTGTGTCCAGCTCAGCCCACCAGGGGGCGGGGCTGGCTGGCATGTGGTGCTGGGGGATTGAACCGCGGTCCCTGTGCTTTGCTAAGCTTGTTCTAAGTAGGTGCTTTAGACCACTGAGCCATCTCACCAGCCCTGGCCGCGGGTCTTAAGGGGACTCGGAGTGGCGTTGAAGCAGCCTCCGAGGTCGCGGGTCCCAGGTACCAGTGTGCGGTGTTGCAAAGTGAGCCTCTTGGCGGCCTTTGGCCCTTGACTGGCAGCGAGCATCCCCGCTCCCCAAAGAAATGGTCCGGCCGTGGCATTCCCTGGAGTCTCAGAATCACCTGTGAGTTGGGTGGGCTGTGCTGTCTATCCTGGCCGGCGCTACAGCCTGGGACCCCCTCCCCAGATGTAAGCCTTTCTCCCGCTTTTGCGGGGAGGGCGGGCTGAGTGCCGGCTGCTGGGCATGTGCACTGAGAAGATCCAATGCATGGAATAAAACAAAAGTGTAATACACCAAGTGGAAAAGCCTGAGACATTGCCATGCCAGATGGACACACGACCCAGTTCCATGCTGTCACACATAGGTGGATGGGGTGCACTATCTCTACCTACCCACGGAGGGTCCCAAGAGTGGAAAGCACTTTTAGGTACTGTTTATGGTCTTTTAGCAGAGTAGCAGGGCAAGGAGTGAGTTGTTTAAAACTGAGTCTAAAAGTTCATTTCTTTTTTTTGTAGATAAAAATAGAGAAAATGAAAAAGAGAAAAAATCAGTGGTAAGTTCCTCTATGTACACTCTCCAGTGTAGGGTGATTTGTAGTTTTTGAGGAGGGGAACGAGGGAATATGTGCACAGAGAAAGATACATAAATACAAGAGACTCTTCAGGGATAAGGATAGTGTCTGCTGGGTGCTGTGACACACTGAATGTAATCCCAGCAGCTTGAGAGGCTGAGGTAGGAAGAGCACACATTCAAGCCAAGGCAGTTCACTAAGATCTTACCTCAGAAATCAGCAAAGGGTTGGGAGTGTAGCTCCGTGTGAAGACGCTGGGCTCAATACCCTTTACCACCAAAAATTAAAAAAAGAAATCTCACCCTCATCCCAGGGCCTCAGGCCCCTCCACCCCATGGAGCCACCTCTGTTGTTAGGTTCTTGTTTGTCCTTTCCCAGAATCTACACAAGTTTAGGAACATTCATGTGTTCCTATTCTTCAGGTAGATTTGGGTTTCTAAAGCTTCAAGAGTAAAAGGATTGAAAAGTGCTCATCTTGTGTAGGGCAGGTTGGTGTAGAGCAGCCGAGATGTGAGGGTAGTATGCTGGCCCCTGCTTCCTCTTGTCCAGTGCTCAGACTGGTGGGTGGGGAATGGGGTCAGAGAACATGAGAGTCCACAGATGGGAATTTAGTCATGGAGATGATTTGTGGAGCTGGCTCTGAGGCAGGGCTGTGATTCAGGTGAAGTTGGAAAGCAAAGGAAGTTCATGTTGGACATGCCCATGAGAATGTCCCCTGAGTGTTTAAACTGGCTGGGCTTGGGGACAATATTTTGGTCACCATCAATCCAAGGCTAAAGGTCTGAAGGAGTGGAACGTCTGTAACTCCTGAAGGAGTGCCTTGGTTGGGGTGGCACCCTTGGCCAGGCTTTCAGAAGGAGAAGGTGTGGGTAGGCTCCTGGCATGCTCAGGGTAATGAAGAGGGCCTGGGAGGGAGTGACTTCATAGGGAGAAGTTGAAATGCTTGAGATTGGTGGAAGTTTGATGACAGTAGAGGAGGGGATTAAGGTATGGCAGGCAGCACTCTAGAAAGGGAGGGAGATTGAAAGTTGGGTTGGAGGGCCGGTGAGATAGTTCAATGGTCTAAGACTAGGCACATGCTTAGGCAAGTCAGGGACTGGGGTTCGATCCCCAGGCAGCATATACCATGCTAGCCTCACCTTCAAGTCTGGGTGTGGTGGTGCAGAATCCCAATGCTGGGGAGACTGAAAACAGGAGTATTCCTACAAGTCTGAGCTGCATAGTGAGACCCTATATCAAATATATAAAAATTTTTTTTAAAAAAGGTGGATTGGATAGGAGTTAATGCTTTGTTGTAGTATTAAGTATGGAGCTAACATTGATACAGCCTTGTGTTATGGGTGCTTTATAGGTGTGGTCTGACTTCCCCAACCCCCACAGTAGGAAGTCAGTAGGAGGTAGTGTGGACGATGCCCCTAACCATATTCAATTCATGGGAGGTCCTGGGAATCAGCTCCTGTCATTAGGGAGGAAGATGGTAGTAAAGAGGACAATGGTACATGTAGAGCAGCGGTAAATTAGGAGACTGAGGAGGAGGTCTGAGCCCTTAGGGGAGCCCTGAAAAAACCTTGATGTTTCCTGAAAAGTAGTGGAGAGTTGGCATCAGGATAGTTGGAACAAAAGAACTATGGATATAGGTGCAGGTCACAGGAGGAAAAGAACCTGCAGGCTTGGGCTTGTGGCCAGCATCAAGGTGGGCAGCTAGGTTTGGGAGTGTGTGAAGGTACTGAGGATAGATTCCCAACATGGAGGACCACTTAAGGACTTTACTCTCTGCCTTTGTTTTCTGCTGCTAAATAGAATACTATAGATTAAGGTAATCTGTAATGGACAGAAATTTATTTGGCTTGTGTTCTGGAAGCTGGGAAGTCCAACATTCAAGGGACTGCATCTGGTGAGAACTTTTCTTACTGCATACACTTCTCATGGTGGAAAACAGGAGGCGTGAAAATGCAAACAAGGGGGAAAATAAAAGAGAGGGAACCCGAGCTCATCCTTTTATCAGGAACCCACTATACAATAAGGGAATGAATCCATTCTTGGATTTTTTTGTTTTTGTTTTTGTTTTTTTGGCGGAACCGGAGGATTGAACTGAGGCCCTTGCGCTTGCCAGGGAAGCGCTTATTCCACTGAGCCATCTCTCCGGCCCAATGAATCCATTCTTGACGTCAGAGCCCTTATGACCTAATCACCCCTTGAGCGTCTTCAGCAGTGTTGCACTGGGGATTAAGTTTTCAGCACATTGAAACCATGGCTCCTCCTTGCAAATATGATTTGGTTGGCCTGTCAGAGAAAGATGGTGGTAGACCATGATGAAGGAACCTAGAAGTCGAGAGTGGGGATGGTGAGGCCAGCAGGAGGAGTAGAACTCATAGCTAATGGCTGGGTGATGGGCACAGATTTTGCAGGTGACAGGAAGCAGGGCCCAGAGGAGTTGCTGGTTGATAGGTGTTGCTGAGGGTGAGGAGAGATGTCTGGGGTGTTGAAGATGTTTGGCCTGCACGCAGCAGCGCTTCCATTACACAAAACTGTTACAGTAACTAAAAATTTGAGTACCGCATCACAATTCATAGAAAAACGCTTGGATGGTAGGGATTTGCTAAGTCATACCATAGCATACCGTTCACCTTTTGAGCTAGAATGTTGCCAACAAATCGCATGTGTTCACAGGTGGAGCTTTTAGAAAGTGATGGGAACACTATACTCATTGGTGGATTAATCTGCTGATGAAAGCGTAGCTACATGTGCCGTTAGGAGGTGGGGCATGGTTGGAAGAGCTCAGTGGGGATAGAGCTGGAAAGGGTCTGTCTCCCTCCTGTCCCTTCCCTCTCTGCTTCCTGGCTGCTGTGTGGGGGCCCCTTTTCTTTACCATGCCCCTTGGCTGTTTTGTTTCTTCCTTGAAGCCAACAGACTGATGGCTGGTAGTGAACCACAGTAGGCCTCTTCCTTTAAGTTGTGAGAGCTGGGTGTGTTGTTCCAGTGGCAAGGAGCGTGCCTAAGATAGTCTTAAGTGATGGAATATGTGTCACTAAAGTTTATGTTTTTCTTTTGAAAAATATAAATTTATGATCTAGGAAATGATGTTTTACTATATCAAAGGAGAATAAAAGAAATAAACTACCCCAAACCAAGAACAATAAAAATATATGAAATATCCAAATAAAAAAATACATAAACTGTCCTTACGAAAAGAGCAAGAAAGACATTTATAAACTAATAATGATAGAGAAGTTCAGTGTCCAGTTAAAAGAATGTATAGGTAAGAATGAGTGTATATGAATGGGTTGGGCGGGGTTAAAAATGGGTAGTCCTTCCTTAGTACTTTGAATTTAAATGTCATCCAATGAACTGAATTCCTTTTATGAAAATCAGCTTTATTCCAATTTGCATACCATAAGACACCCATTTTACTGTACAGTTCAATAGTTTTTAATAACTGCACAGAATTGTGCAGTGTTAGTACAATCAAATTTAGAATTTCTATCACTTCAGAAAAATCTCATGGCCATTTACAGTTACTCTTTTGTACAGGGTGACTTAATTTATTTCCTGCCTTTTTGCCTTTTTAGGACATTTTGAAGAAAATAGGATCCCGTGGTTTGATCTTTTCTGGGTACTGTTCACTTTGACTTTGAAATATATCCACATTATGTATCAGTACTTCATTCCTGCATTAGTTTTTTTTTTTTTTTTTTTTTTCTTTTTGTCACTGGGACAAAATACCCAATACAGTATAAGAGAGAGATGTATTTTGGCTTACAGTTTCAGAGAGTTCAGTCCATGATTGAAAGCAGATATGGTATGGCATGGTATGTTTACCCCATGACAGCCATGAAGCAGAAAGAGAGAGAGAGAGAGAGAGAGAGAGAGAGAGAGAGAGAGAGAGAGAACGAACAAGCAAGAGAGCGCATACATGAGAGAGGGAAAGAGAGACAGGTGCATAAGGACAGAGGAGATGAGACAGAGAGGAGAGAAGCAGAGACAGAAGGGAGGAATCTGGGGCAATAATGCTTTCCTAGGCCAGGCCCCTAAGTGAGCCACCTCCAGTGAGACCCCACGTTTTTTCAGTAATGAACTCATGAGTGGATTAATCCACTGATGAGTATTGCACTATCCTGATCCAATCACCTTCCAAAAACTCCACCTTTGAACTCGTGAGACTTTGGGAATGTTTTAGATCTGCTCCATACCAGCTTCCTATTGTATGGCTATAGCATACTTTACCTATTTACCAATTATTGGAGTTCTGGCCAAGTTTTCTTTTTTACTGGGGATTTCTCAAGATCTTTATTTTTTATTTTTATTTTTTCCAGAACTGGGGATTGAATTTAGGCCCTTGCACTTGCCAGGAAAGCGCTTATCCTACTGAGCCATCTCCTCGGCCTCAAGATCTTTAAAAGGGATTTTTTCTTTTTTTTTTTTTTTCACTTTTCCATTGGGGACTTTGAAAACCAGACCTGTCACATGTTTGCCTTTGGTCCTGAGCAAACATCCGAGTGGCAGCTCTCTGGGTTTATGAGTGACTTTTTATTTTGTTTTTATACTTCTGTATGTTCTATAGTGACAGTGGTTAACTACCATTTTCAGAATAGATTGTTATTTCAGAATGAAGGTAAGACCAGGAGTGTAAAAGGTTGAAGGCCATGGGTTTGGTTCCCAGCACCAATTTAAAAAAAGGGGTGGATGACTCATCAATGTCAATTATAATTGTGGGAAATTAGATTTGGAGCTTCATAGAAGAATACAGTAGAAGTAAACTTGGGCATATCCACAGAAATGTGCACCATCCAGCTGCATACTACCAGTGTGGTGAACATCCTATTTTCTTTCTTTTTTTAAAAAAAGTATTTGGTACAGGGTCTACAGGATCTCATGACACAGATCAGACTTGTAGTGATTCTTCCTGTTTTTCAGCCTGCCAAACTCTGGGATTACAGGCATGCACCGCCACACCCAGACTCAGTCACACGCTCCATGGCCCCAGGGGGCGGGGCTGGCTCTGCCCCTGTGTCTGCTTAAGCAGGTGCTTTAATCCACTGAGCTATCTGACTGCCCCTAAACATCCTGTTTTCTTACAATTTCCTATTATTTATCTTCTGCCCTTGTTTGTTGTATATAGGACTGTGTATTGAGTACTCGGTGCTTGACACATAGTAGGCCTTTAGTAAGCAGTTGAAAGATGCAAAGATAAGAAATAGACATGGGCGAAATATGCTAGAATGTAATAGTGTTTGTCTCTTTGTATTGAGATGATAGGTGACATTTTCTACTTCATGGTTTTATTTCCTTTAATGGGCATGAATCCTCTTCTAATATTTTTGGATAATACTTTAAAGCAGAATCAAACAAAAGCCTTCCTTTTCTTGTCTTTTGTCTCTTCTGTGTTCCTGTTCCTCGTACCTTGCTTGCTCCATTTGGCTGACCTTCTTCGAGATCATTTACCAACTCTTCAGGGCTTCCCAGTGTGAATAGGGATAAGTGTTTTGGAAGAAAATATCATCTGAACAAGATATAGTTATAGTAGTGCACAGGAAAGAAATAGTCTGTGTAGAGTGAGGTCAAGGTTGAGCTTTTTTTTTTTTAAATATCCAAGAAGAGGAAAAGCAATTTTCTTTAGAAAACAGCAATGAAATATTAAGTCCAGTAGTCTTGGGCCTTCTTTGTGCCATATTACACACTTCCTCAGGTTCATTTTGTAATTTGGGGTTCTAAAGCAATGAGCTGGCAGGGACCTGGGACTTAAAGTAGCCTGGCATCTATTGGAAGTGTGATTTTTCAGTCCCCCTGGGTACTCAGCAGGGTCAGTGTAGGAGAATTTCACTGCCAGTGACAGAGTTCCACTTGCTGGCTTCTGCTTGTGTGTAGTGAGTGTAGTGAGTGTGGTGAGGCAAGATGGCTATTCATGAGAGTAGGCTCCCTGGGAGTTGAGAGAAGGGGCTGTAGATTTGAGCCACGCCTAGATGTGAGTTCATCTTGCGTCTCTGCCTCATCTGGTACTTTGGACAAGTTGCCCAAGTGGTTCCATGTCCTTGGGTGCTTCTAGCTGGGGTTTACATAAAGTACTAGGCCACCCTGCAGCAGGGTGCATCCTGTTGTCACTCTGTGCACCCCAGTTTGTCTTCTTACATTTGCAGAACTGCTTACTCCCTTGTGCTCTGCTGCAGCCAAAACCCTTCGTTTTACGTTACTAGCTGGTCTGGCTGAGAAGAGCCATGCCAGAATTGCGGGGCAGCAGGTCAGGGGCTCCACCTCAGATTCTGAGCTGCCTGGTGCTACCTCATGTTTCACAAGTCCTCTGTGCCTGGGAGTATGGCTGGGGCTGGGCTTGGGGCTCAGTGATAGAGTGCTTCTCTAGTGAGTGTGAGGCTCTAGATTTGAGTCCCAGGACAGCAAAGCAAAAGCAGCTCCTCTGGTGCTTGTGAGATGTCCAGAACTGCATATTGTGAAACTCTTCTGTAGTCCTGAGGCATGCTGCCTGCCTTGCCTGCACTTGAAATCACCTGAGGGGCTTTAAAAGTTAGTGAGAGCCTGCTGTGGTGGTACATGGCTGCAATCCTAGCATTTTGGGAGACTGAGTTAGGAGGATCCTAAGTTTGAGGCCAGTCTGGGCAATTTAGTGACTTAGTGAGACCCTGTCTCAAAATAAATAAAACATTTAATTAAAAGGGCCAGGGATGTAGCTCAGTATGAAGGTATTGAGGCCCTCAGCATCGAAAAAACAAACACACCCACACCCACACAAATTATGGCCAGAGTCTTGCCTTTGGTGATTGTGGTATGATTGGTTTGGGTTGTGGTTTTCTTGCAGAGATTATTAAAGAGCCCTGGGTGGTTCTAACCCATGGCCAGGGCTTGTACTACTCCCTCAGCCATTCTCTTTCCCTGTAATGTTAGTTGGAGGAGGTCCCCGGTCTTTAGAATAAATAGATCCCAGGTGACTGACTGCACCCACCCGCTTGCTCCACAGCGCCCCTTCCCAGGTGCAGTTATCATGAGCAGGGTGTGGGTTCAGGTGTCCTCCCTTCATGCCCTTCTACAAGCCTTCTGGTAACCTTAGATGTCATGCTGGTGATGACATATGCTACCCTTCTTAAGACCTGGCCTCTGACAGGTTTTAAGCTTGTTTTTTCTTTCTTCTAAAACTCTTCT